AAAAAAAAAAAATCGCACCCTTAAACAAACAATTCAACTTGTCATCAATAGATTTTTCGAGAAGGTTGTTTCTATGTATTCATGAAGTTGTTATTGGAAAATCAATTAATCACGAACACAACTTAGTTAGACTTGTAAAAGCTCGATTTTGACTCGTTCGTTAACTTTTATAAAGTGAGCTCGAACAACTAATTGTATTTGTTACTATACGATCCCAACCGAGTTCATTTGAGAACAACATTTTTATTTTTTTTATATGATTCGGATGAACAATCGAGCTAGTTAATATGTCCGCGTACACATGGATTATGTTTGTGAATAGCTCATCTACGATTTTAAAAATTGTTAAAACAAATCGAGTCGAGATCTCACGAGTTTAAATGAGTCGAGCTAAACCAACTCATTAGTCAAATGAGTATGAAGTCGAGCACAAAATGTGATGCAGAATAATTATATTATTATTATTATTATTATTATTATTATTATTATTATTAGTTAGCTTGAAGAATAAGCTAGGGTTTAGTTCAAGTGTCTTATTTAAAGGGTTCTTGTGCTATGTTATTAGGGGAGTTGATTTTGAATAAAAATATGAATTGATTGTGAGTTTTATCGAGAGAGTATCTCGTTTTACGTGTTTTACGAGAGAGTATCTTGTTTACTCGTTTATCCTTCCCACTCGTACGCTTTTCCCTACATCAGTACGATTCGCGATGTCGCCGGGACGAGAAGATTCCGCAAACAAACAACGTGATGCAACCTTCAACGATCGGTTTCAACAGATCGACTACCGATTTGAACAATTGGACGTGCGTTTCACGGATTGGTTTGCCGATCTTTCGACGGGGATCGGGGATTTGCGTTTGACGCTTAACAACATGATTGTTTCGAAATTGCAGACGAACCGCGATGAAGTTGTGGGCCGTGGCAATCGCGAGGTAGACAGAGGCGGACGTGGGGAACGCAGCCATGTCGGGGCGTCCCAGCAGCGATCCCCGCCACCTCTGAACGGCAACGATGTTGGCGATTTTGGGGCTCAGCAGGAGCAGTCCACATGCTTTTTTTTGGGCATGTGAAGAAGATGCAAAAATTAGGCCTGTGCAGAGAGAATTTGGTCGCAAGGTTGGTCGATGGGATGGCCCATTTTGCGTAAACATCCTCAAATTTGATGAAGAGCGAGATGATGGGTCATTGTACGATGGTCCGCCCATTTTTTATGAGGAGCCTCCGGTGATGAAGACATATTTATGCGACAATATGGGTCCCGCGTAGGACGTCGCAGAGGTTGAGTCTTCAAATGAGAAGCCGTCGTTTAGACCTGATTTTCAGAGTATCTTGGCCAAAGATGATTTTTTGGAGCCGAAGCTGAGACTCAATAATTTTCTATCTCGAAGTCTCCCAACAACAGGGTGTTTGGTCGTAGTTATGGATTTGAGCATGGTGAACGATGTAGTATTTTTGGTGTTCATTGCGCTGTGTGGGTTATGCGTAAGGAGGCGTGTACATATCCATTTGCAGTAGTACAATACTTGCTCAAGATTATGTTTCTCATTGGGGTTGTTGGACAACATTCATCTTTTGTGTTCGATCAAGGGAAAGGTTGGACTATTCCTGCCAACGGGAACGGGTCGGATTCGAGGGCGAATCCTGCTCAACCGGAGGAGAATGATGCAGAATAATTATATTATTATTATTATTATT